TGGTATGACTTCCACGGTTAGGTCTATTATTAGAGCAGTACTAATATCATAGTAGACCATAATTCTACAATTATTCTAGTATCTCAGTGGTACGTTTCTGACAATGGCGCCAGATGATACAGGGGTGAATCTACTAGATAGAATCAGTACCGTAGAGATAACAGGTACACTTCCTCGACGAGTGCCAAATAGCATGAAACTTAGGTCCACGGTTCCCTGTTGACTGCAAACAATTACCACTTTACAGAAACTAAACATCATCTGCGAAATAAACTGTTCCAAATGCTAGAAAAACAGGTCAGACAAAGTGGATGCCCTCTACCTCTGCATAAACATCAACTGGATGTCGAACGTCATGATGTACTTTCACTTTTATCAGTAGGGAATACACGTGAGATTGGAAATTTTTTTTAAGTTTGACGCTCAAGTCAATCAATAATCAATAGACACATAAACCCAACTTATCAACTAATTAGAAAAATCATGGATAAATATATGAACAAGAATCATATCAAAAGGAGAGAATATCAAAACAATATGCAGAAAACGACTTGTCACAGGCCAACAATCTATGATCAAGATTAAAGCAGACATGACAAACTGTCAGTCATATGTGAAGATATTAGAAAAGCTCACTTCAAAGTTAAGCTTATGATATTGGTGTAATTCTGTGGAACAATGAAAGCTCCACGATTAAATCATCCAGCTCAAAGAATGAAATTCCACCCAAACCATCGACCTAAACTACAAATTCCCTCCACTATCTCCATATTAACAAACATTACTATTGAACAGTTGTGTTCTAATTGGTTGGGAATCTCTTGAAATAGCAAAAGTTCTAATTTTACTTTTAATGCCACAAATAGATAATTTTAATATAAAAGTAGTAAACACTTTCATTTTGATTTCGTCGAGTTCGTTTACTTAGAACAAATACGGAATGCTTCACGACTTTCTGTCGTGCACTTCATATTATTCAGTGACCACGACCACTGATGTCAGGTTACTAAACAAAGATCTTTGGGTTTTATGAACAGAGCGTAGTTCTCTAGACCAACTTAAGTTTATTCGCAATATATCACAAATGTTCGCTACTATCGATGATCTCTGTCTCCTTGTCACGAAATGATTTATTTTTACGGTGATTTTATATTAATGAGGAAAAACTAAGTTATCGATTGTTAAGTTGGCAACCCCTTACAGATTGTGTTTGTTTACATCTAAGTGAACTGTGATTATAAGGTTAGAAAACAAGACTTTAAAAACAGTCATACAATTAAAATATAAACATAAGCATAAATCACATTAGATTACAAATTAATTAAAATCTCACATACTGATCTAAAAGTACCATGATTGTCACGTGACCTATTGATCCGGTATTTGATGTAATGGGAAACGGTAAGTTTACAATGGCTAGGGGAGGGGTTTTAAACTAATACTGATTAATTGTCTCCTGATCACTGGTTTTCAATGCACTTAATCTGAAATCAGTTAGTGATGAAAAATTATTATCCATGTGAACTAAATCACTGCACATTCTAGTAGATACAGAAGTAGTGACTGGTGTAAAAAGCCGATAAGTATGATTGTGCAACAATACTACAAAATTGCAGCTAACTCTAAATATGAAGATTTCGCGTCTTCCAAATTTTAACAATACAACCGACATTTGATGTCAGATGGTTGGGGGCGGTTGTCAGAAAAAACATGGCAATTGGTTTCCTGCTAGTTGGTATTCAGCAATTAAATGCACTTAGAATTTTATGGGGATGGATGCTACCTAAGGAAGTTGAAATTGTGTCACCCAGCTTCATAGCCTAAGATACTCTTGATCTTTTCGGGCGGTTATTGACCTTCTACAGGACTGAGATAGTTTCAGTGACTGGTCACTGAGTTCTGACCAATTTTTATTCCATAACAGTTATTATCACTTTGTTATTTAATATACCATTTTTTTGTTCTAGTGTCAATTCTTTTTGGTATAATGTTAGTAACTGTGCTTATTGTTATATCTTTAATAAGCTCTTTCACTGGGATCCAACACATAATCCACACAAATGAAGCTATTCTGTTTTACTGTATTAAGAGTCGTTTGAAAACTTTATTTAGCTAACTAAAATTGTTATAATCTCTATAAGAAATTTTTCTTAATTATAAAAGTACATATGAAAAAGAAATCTTGCTGAACAGAGTTTAACAATGAGCCAGTTATAATTAACGTGTAAAGTGATATAAATATACATCAAACCAATTCTCTATACAACAACTTCCCAAACAGATGAATTTAATAAGAGTAATAGTGGAAAAGTCGAAACGATCAAAATAATGAATAATAAAGCGAAAGAATAGATAATAAGAATTTGCTTTTAAAGATAAGGAACAAAACTTCGATTTATATGCAGGTATATCGAGAGTCATGGGATGAAATAAAATGATCAAATCTCCATTACTTTAATCAATTTCTCCAACTACTGATCATAGTTTAACATAGTTTATAAAGTAGTCTGTTTTTTCATCTAGGATATGTGTAACTCTGTGATTTGTTTGTAGTGACCCACGTTTATGAAAAGAACGCGATTGATATAATGGAAACAATTATTATTATAACCAATTGTACCAGTGATAGTTTTATTGTACCTGTTTGTTTAACTGTACTAAGAACACACATTCTTCCGTTGACCGTGACATTGCTTGTAAACTTTGGCACGATCTCGGTATTCTTTCAATATCACGAGATTGCCAACAAATATATCCTATTAAAACCGTTAACTGCCTTCTGGTTGTCGGCCTACGTCGGGATCCAACCTAATAACTGGCACATAATCTTCCTGTAGTGGTGATCATTGTCAACCGCGACTCGATGCCACACTTCTAGATGCTTTGATGATCCTGGGTCCATGAAATTTCCATCATATAAGTGTTTTATGTGCTTCTCTGGACAGCATCAGCGTAAATCCCTGTGTGGTGCATTTTCCTCTTCATGACCAGACTACAACAGTACCTTACACAAACCGAATCCATTCTGTCCAGCCGTAGTCCAATGGGTTTCACTTTTCCTGCTCGCCGCTTAACTGCATATCCTAATTTCTGAAACTATTTGATCGGTTCTTCTGGTCTTTCATATTGTACGGATAACCAAAGGAGATATCCGCCTTGTGACTTTCGAAGAATCTCATCATTTATAATGCGGCATCTGAATTCTTCTAAATAAAGATTATTCGAATCTCAGGATGGAGATAAATGGTTTAATTTGTTTATTGTGGTTAGCGTCATTTTAGCAAGATTTTTATCTACGGGATCGGGATGTTGACTATTCACTTTAGACCGACAGTAGCCTTAGGATATTTACCGGTGGAGTTACATGTCGGCTGAGGTTGGCATAATATATTTAATACGAAAACACGTAGTTTTTACAAGGCGACCAGGCGTGGATGGTGGAGCAATACATCATCGAAGAAAAAGAAGATGCGATGCAGGTTTTAAGGTAAGGATTGGCAAAGCAAGGGCAGCATTCCTACAGTTGTAGAATATATGGAATTAAAAACATCTGTCAATAACATCAAAGCAAGAATCTTCATTTAGAATGTGAAAACGGTTCTACTGTATGGGACTGAATCTTGAAGAACTACTACAAACATCACTAAAAAGGTGCAAGTAAGGCCTAACATTTTATGTAACCACATAGTGGGAAATTCAGAAATCTGACGAGGTTTATTATTATAGTATTATAGATAACGGTGCTAATACCGGCCTAGACATAAATATTATATGGCTGCAGGCAATGCTGTTGTACATGTACTTCAAATATGTGTAGACACACTGGTGTTCTGGTCAAAATTGTGGAATCCATTATGGGAAATTCTACAGACTCCTGTATAAAATGTAACTCAGGTATTATGAAAACGACAAAGAACAGCTACTTAGGTGTGATCATGCTCATATACGTTAGGATGGGAAGTTTGAAACATTCAATTACAGACGAATTGTCCTGCTCTCCGCGTCAGTAAAAGTCATGCAAAGGGTTCGGAATGAATTTATTTGATACCGGCTGATGGAAAATGCTTTGTTGTTCACGACATGATTTTCTCTCGGGCAGCTCATTAAAACGCAAGCTTGTTGAACACCTGGAGATTCTGGACTCTATCAACGGAACACAAACATTCTGTTCACATAGACATTCAAACTCCTCAAAGGCACTCAGCGTGACTGGTCGAAGAATTCCAAACTTACAAACCAAGCTACTGAAGATTAGTGAGTTTTTAACAATGTGACTTGTGGACAACGTATAAGAGGATCAAAAACTACCAGCGTCCTTTCGAATCTATCAGATTTTTCATCAACGGCAAGTGTAATGTTTACTAGCGTCTCACATAGTACTCTAGACCCCCATGTGATCTTAGGATTTGGAGAGGAATGATGGGCTCAAATAATAATTTTTCTCATCGAAGAGACTTGACTAAGACTTACAACCGAAACGATAGAAACCCCCTCCTAAATATTAGTTTACGCAGATCGCAAGTGGTTAACGTTAGTGCTAACCTATTTGTCCCACACTTCCTTATCACGTATAGTTTAACAGCCCAGATATCGAAGGTGATTACTGTGAGTGTCACTTCACGATCACTTTGACAATCAATAACCGACTTATTCTACCCTTCGATCTCAGGTACGAAACAAAATAATAAAATAGTAAAGAAAACTGTGCGTATGAAGAGCCGAATAATTTCATTTTGAAAAACCACGTTCTATAACCTGAATTAAGATGCAAGGAGAAGAATGATTACTTAATACTGCCAAATAATATTTGAATTTTCAAATATTATCGTGTAAATTGGTCTGCTTATCTTCCTATGACCCATTCAACAAATAGAACACTAGTGTGACCTCAAGAGAAGAGGACTAATATCTTTCGTCTGCTCTTTATTTTTAATGTACATGTCATAGTCCGAATCCTAGTCTATTGATAATTGGAAGTTGTTGCCATAGCTTGTGTTTACGAGCTCTTGTTGTTCCCCGGCCTTTTTGAATAAAGTGGCCTATCACATGAGAATAGGGTGTACGAAAAAAATGGTGTTTTTCATCAGCCTTAACGCTTTGTTTTTGGCTATAACTCCCTTTGAGTTTTGGAATTCATTACTAGGATGTTTACTGACTCTTCACAAAAAGTTGAACGTCACCAAGCTTTACGAGTCATCCACCATCTATCACTTAATCTTTCGGTTAGACGATATTCGAAAGGCTGGGAAGATATTTTTCCTCACAAGCGAACCTAAGTATCAAGATTCAGGTGGGGAATATATTTACAGGCGTTTGGTGAGAGATATAATTTACACCTACAAAAAGGCTAGATCGGAATTCAATTTACCTCCACTAATGCGCACCCGCGTTGTCCCCTCAGAAAGTGAGCTGTTATTCCTTACTTAACACAATTTCAGGTGAAAAAGCAGAAGCTCTACAATCTCTGCGTGCAGCTTCACTACAACAGGCTACTGGTCATTTTGCGAAAGCCAAGAAACTACTGGAACATGCATTCAAACTTGACCCGGACAATATAGATGTCTTAATTGCTTTGGGTGAAGCTATAGAGAGTTCTTATTACTATAGGAAATCTACCCCGCATGTTGCTCTTCCTTTAACGAAGTCTCTGATCCCTGTCTATGGCCAAGTACCAAACAATGATGCTGATGGTCTTATCTTGACTGCTGAACATCTCTATACAAAGGCATTGATTGTTGATCCCACCATTTCTAAAGCTTGTGTACACCGAGAACATTTGATGCCAATTGTGGAGGAAATAGATCAACGAATGTAAGTACTTTCGATTCTTGTCTTTGATAAAAGCTTTTGCTGAAACTATAACTTATGGACGACCTTTGAGCGAAGCTAAATTGGCCTTGACGATGTCCACCTTCTAAGCAGAGCTGAATGAGGGTTGTGAACCAGTGTGAGGAAATAAAATTATGATTTGCAGTTATTGGTTAGAGGTTAGGAATTAGATTTAGGGTTTTCATCACGAACTGACATGACAAAACGCTATTTAGTAAAATGGGTTGTCGGACTTCGCGTCAAAATCCAAAACCTGTTATCTTAGATATGACTGATTTGTCTATAAATTATAGTCTCGCGAAGATTTTGATATGAATAAATTATTCGGATTCGGTAGTCAAGTCCAGATCTTTGGACTGAAGGTACAGTATACATACTGGGCTTTAAGGCTATCTAAATAACCTGAAAACAACTGCCTAGTCAACTTATCTACAGTCGAGTTGTAAAGTGTGTGTCCGCATTTGAACGAAGATCCTTCTTATAATATGGCGTCTGGAAGTTGTATACATCCTTCAAATCTGAAATTTTATAATAAACAAGTTTGTGGGACTCACGTTGTGGGAGGAATAATGTAATTTGCTTCGGTCATATGTTAATAGTGTCAATACCTATCTGAACCATTTTAAGGTGAAACGGTTTCCCGGTGACTTTCTTGTTAGAGCTTCCATGTGCTAACTGTGTATAGGGTCGGCGTAGTGACAAAAATAGACGCCTGTTATGAAAAAAGTAACTGGTTTTGTTTTTAAAATGAAGAAGTACTGGTCAAGATGTTAGCTTACATTGGTATTTATAATTTTCCTCTCATTTTGATCTACTAAATTCCTTAAAACATTCAAAGTGATACAAAAATAAATGCAGCCTCCTAGTCTATAATACTGCCGTTATCTGTTCCTCGTACTTAGTTGTGATGGTTGCCTAACAAAATTCTCATGTTCAGTTGATGCATATCATTCTAGATAAAACAGCAAAAAAACATAAAACATTTTTACGCTTGATATTAAAGGCAATTTCGTCGTGCAGGTTTATTCATCTGTTAGGAATATGCCGTACTTTCATATCGTAGGGGAATATTCCGAACCTCATATTTCCTAACTCAAATAGCTTGTTGGCGGGTCCAATTTTGTTGGTGTTAGTGGCGATCTAAGCATCTGTTTCCTGCAGTTTTCTGCCTCAAACGTTTGAAATGATCACTAATTGTGCCAGTCTATAAAAAAGGACAAAAGTCCTATTGTGACAATCATAAAGGAATCAGTTTGACTAATATAGTGTCTAAAATATTAGCTTCAATGATACTTCGACACCTAACTAAAGCTCGTGAAGAGCAGACTAGAGAAAACCAGGTTGGTTTCCAACCCGGGCGTGTCTGTATAGACTAGATATTCACTTCACTTCAGATCCTAAAACATGCACACACTCAGAAGTCCTACAATAGTAGTATTTCTCAACCTTAAGGCGGCATTTGACTCTGTTCGTGAAGTTCTGTGGCAGTGCTTGTCACTGAAAGGAGTACCGAAGAAGTACATTAACCTTATAAAGGCTCTCTACTCGAACACAACTGGCGAACTGTCATCATAATTAATTACCTCAAGTGGTGTTCCTCAAAGCTGTCCACTCTTTCTACTCTTGTTTAACTTTGTCATTGACGAACTTTCAGAGATAACACTTTCCTCATCTAAATTTACAGCGGTTGAACTTCTACCGGGAGGTTCGCTTGTTGACTTAGAATATGCTGATGACATAGTTCTATTTGATGAAGACGCTGACAAAATGCAGAGTCTTCTGACCATTCTAAGCAACAATGCATGCATGTTGGGGATGCGATTCTCCTCCTCGAAATGCAAAATGTTGCTTCAGGATTGGGTTGAACCGTCACCTGAACTAATGATAGGGAGTGAAGTAGTTGAGCGTGTCGGCCGCTTCACCTATCTTGGAAGTCTCATCAGCCCCTGTGGTCTGGTGTGTGACGAAATCTAAGCACAGATACAGAAGGTTCGATTAGCTTTTACCAACTTGCGTCATTCATGGCGTAGGCGAGATATCCGTCTATCAACCAAAGGACGGGTTTACTGCGCAGCAGTTCGTTCCGTCCTACTTTATGGCAGTGAAACGTGGCCGGTAAGAGTAGAGGTTGGGACACGTGCTATTTATGCCCAACCACTGACTGCCCTGACGAGCGATGTTTTATGGTGTAGGAGTAGGTTGGAAGAAAGCTAGTGGCGGCTATACCAAAACATGGCACAAATCCATGAAGTCACCAACAAGTGGACTGAGCCATGTTGGTAGGTGTAGACTATCTGGTTGGGATGCGCGAGAAGATAGCAACCGATGATTAACACAGCGAGACAGAATTATCAAGATGAATATCAAGGGTCGAAGTTATATTAGTATTAATGATCGTTGAAAAGATTAAAAACTTGCTAATACAGTTCAAAAAGAAGGAACAAATTAGAAGACATAAAAGTACAAAAAATATTGAGACTTGAGACTTATAAAATGAAGATGGAATCCATCTTCTCCTCAATGGCTTATTCTGAAATATGTCACTCAAAATTTCCAACCACTGATCACCGTTTTCAGGTGGACCCCAATCATGTAATCTGCGTCTACCTACACAGCTCAGTACAACAGTCAATAACTTCACGAACTGACATCAAGTTTCGGTTTTGTCATTCTTTGGTTTCGTCGGAATCGATGACAATGACCTATATTCATTCAGTTTTTGTCTTTTAGGTTGTAAACATCTCTTCCTATGTTCTATGGTCTTATCAATTCAGACCGTCTTTTTTAATTTTTATGTTGAAGGTGTTTCTGTTACATCCTGCTGAAAAGTGTAACCGCTTGATACAATTTATTCTATTTTCTGTATTTAATCTGCCTATATAAACAATATTGTTCTGTTCACCAAAGATAGTCAACTGTTGTCTGTAGGACTCCACGATACAATCAATGGTTAATAATCTAGTGATAGCAATAATTATACGTAAAGCTAGAAAAATAATTTCACCTTATTATTATCATGTTCTATGATAATCATAGATGATTAGTGGTGCTTTGTTTTGTTATTTATTCGAATCTTGCACTCATATATCCCTCATATAATTATTAATAGGATTATTTTCAGCTTTATTGGATTAGTGTTGCTTTTCATGACCCTAAATTTATCCACTTCTAGTGTCAAGTCACAAAACACTTATTCTGAACCAGCAAATTTATGTAAACTAATATTTTTTAGATCTCATGCTGTGTTGTTGATACGTTTTTGGATTAGACTGATTTTTCACAACTCCAACTTAAGTTCAATTAGCAAAATTGCTTCTATCCTCTTCTTTCCTGTCTGCTAATTAGAATGATAAGTTCAAGGTTAGGTAGAAGCTTTTTAATAGAAACCTCAGAAGAATTAAATCGTATTCAAATTTATTCAAATTATATATTCATTATTAAATGATTACTGATTACAGAATTCTATCAAACTGACTAGTTGTCACTGAACGTAAAATCACAGTGAATCAATCAATACAACGAAAATGCATTAGAAATTAACCTAGCAAAAGATATCGTAAACAATATACTAACTTCAAAGTTGATTTTCTTTATAATACGTTGTATTTTGGGGATGTTACATCTTCAACAGTCCCTGTTTTGATTGTTCACCTTCTTTCTTCTCTCTTTTGCGTAGTCTCAATGCAATCGATTTTAAAGTTCGTCAGTTCTATCATATTCCAGAAGGTGATCCAGGTTTGCGTCGTGCTAAAGTTGAACATTATTTCAAGCATGTATATCACTCAAATGCTATTGAGGGTAATACGCTTACATTGGCTCAAACTCGATCAATTTTGGAAACACGATTAGCTGTTGGTGGAAAAAGCCTATTGGAGCAAAATGAAGTATTTCGATTTTCGTATACTTGTCCAAAGTTTTGTCCGTATTTTTTGAAATTCGCTTAGGTCATATTCACGAATAAATTATGTATAATCTGTTGTCTTACTAGCGATAGTTTAGTGGTTGGACTATTTCTCTTTTAACTGACTGGTTCCTCATACTTTGATTTGGATGCAAGATATTGTCACTGGCCCTCACATAAACCGTGAAAAAACCGATTACGTAAATCTGTACTTGACAAATGATTTGCATTGTGTTTTTATATATCTTACTGGTCACCATTTTCATACTGGAGTTTCGTCCCCAACTGTCTTTTAATGATGTATGTATCATACTTTACTCGATTTAAATGACTACGCATGAAATTTTTGCATGTTTCACGTATTATTGCAAAATGCCAGATTAGTAGTTGGAATATTTTACTCCCACCTACTACGCTGTAAGCTTTGACTACACCTTCACCCACTTCGATGTAGGTAGCTGAATAGTGCCCCTTATCCTTGCATAAAAAGCGTAAATCCAAAGCTGAGCACCTAAACTTGTATCTAGTTAGAAAACCGTCACCTCTTCGACTTTTCACAGTACACTTTTTCTACGGGTATCATAATCCAATGAAACATTGTTCTTCACTCTCCATTTGCATCAGTTTGTCACTTGCTTTAAGAACTATATTTGAATGAAAAAATGTTCAACTGTTAAATATATACAAAACAATACAATTCTTAAGCGTTGTTCTATTATCTTCTTACTCGTTAGTTTAAGTATTAAAAGATTGTGTAGTACATCATTTAACAACTTAAAAATCCTGTTTTATCATTTCAAACCACTTTACCATTCATTCTATAGAAATAGTAAATTGTTAATTAATTAAACAATTGACGCCCAATTTACCTGTTATATTTTAGGTCCTTGGTATGGATTCAGCTCTCAGATATATTAACAACACTCTTTTACGTGGAGATTTGACTGCTATAACACTGGACAATATATTGGAATTGCATCGTAGACTCTTATCGTTTGTAGATTTGAGGGAAGCTGGAAGATTACGACGTTCTCAGGTAGTCCATCGACAGTTTTGTGATATATTTTTAGGATGTCATGTATTTGGAAGAAAATCGCTATGTAACCCTAATCTTAGACAATTACAATTTTGTCACTCAACAGCGTGATGTGTCCGTAACCTTGATTAGAGCTGAGTATCACCACTCAGAGATATTACCTCCAAGCTGATTCAAATTAGGATTAGACTATGTCAACTAATTGGCTATGGGATTGTAACTATTAATGTGAGAGTGTACATGCTGATCGTATCAGTTGGATACATCAATCTTAAGGCCTGTACATCTATTACTACAACAATAGTATAAGTAAATTTGCAAAACTACATTATGCTACCTATTCAAGTTTTATGATTCTTCCTTCTCATCAGATCGTGGTTACACCTTGTACGACCTTACGACCTTAGAACTTGCTATTTAAAGACAGAAGGTCTGCACAAGATACTAGTATCACATCATAGGTATTTTGCATATATTACTGACATAAGGTGGGATCACAGAAGTAATGTTATTGTAGAGTAAGAAGTAAAAGTTGTGGACTCTTTGTCGACTGAATTGGTCGGAATATATTATTTGATGCTTAGTCAGCGTTCATGAAGACACACTACAGCAACTAATACAAAAGTAAGCTGATAGTGGGCTAACAACAATCAGAACAAGACATTTTTTCAGCTATTCATGTCTTCAACTATTGATTCGAACTATACCATGAAGTGTAGACTTTCTAGTTAATATTCACTAAATAGTCGTAATCTATGATTAGAAAAATCACAAACTTAGTCCTAACGTCACAAAAATATTTCCTTTCACTTAGTATTAAACAACTTACCACTTTAAAATGTCCTGTCTTCGATTTCTTTCCGTTATTTTACACTGTATTTCCTATATCCAGTCCACCACTAGCCCTATGCTAATACCAAGTGTAGAAACTTAAATCAATCCAACCACATAAAATGCACAAGATTCTAGGCTGTTTATGACTGATTATTCTTTAAATTTTGCATTAGCTTATATCAAGATTAAGACCAACTAACTGGTTTTTAGTGTTGATCATGATTAGATTGACAAGTAGTGGATCAATTAATGGTAGTTGGAAAAATTAACCTATCATTAACATAGTTTTTTATAATATTAATATGAGTTTTGTTGTTGTTTATAATTTAAATATCTCATTATTTACTAATTGATATTTGTTTTAAGGTTTATATTGCTGATCACCAACCACCACCTCCATCTAGTGTACCTGATCTAATGTCGGAATTAATTAGTTGGTTAAGTTCTGATGAAATAGCCGATATGCATCCTATTGAATTAGCTGCGCTAACGCATTGGAAATTAGTGTTTATTCATCCATTTTATGATGGAAATGGACGTACTGTTCGACTTCTTATGAATTTGATTTTAATGCGTTCTGGTTTACCTCCAGCTATTATTAAAATAGAAGATCGTTTTACTTATTATGAATTGCTAAAAACAGCAAATGATGGAGACGTGCGTCCATTTATTCGTTTCATAGGTAAGTTTTTGTGTAATTCAATATTTTAAATGCATATTTCATAGTTTAAAGATATATTTGGACAATTATCGAATTATTATGATACGAAAGTCGATGCACGTCGATAGCATTTACGCTGTCCATTATTTTCTCATTGTCATATAACAACCGGACAATTAGGATTTTTGTAGTTTCTTCGGACAATAATGGGATCCATTGACTGCTGGATTGCTCCTTGGATCCATATTCAGTGTCCTTTCTATAGTGCTGGCTGGCGCAAGAGTGTGTTGGAAGATAGCTAGGGGTGGCTCCATTAAATCACGATGTCAATCTATTGGATCATTGACTATTGACCTGAGCCATGTTAGTAGATGCAAACTATCCTACTGAGGTACACCTCGACCGTTGCTACTACCTTGAGGTGGTGGCCCGGCTTGCCTATCTTGATGACCCAATCAGGCTATACTGGTTGGAACAATCGTTCCTTAAGGTTCTACCATGCCAGACAGGTCGGTTGAAGAACAGTAAGGCTAAAAGTAGCGAACCCAAGGTCTGAGAGCGAAGTTGTACTCCTCACTGTACAGATGTGCGATAGCATTAAGGTGCTTCCTTAAGACAACCAGCATAACAGCGATGCTGCCTTCCCACAAGGGAGGGTGGGGTTAGAAAACGTCGATTTTAAAAATGCACACCTCGCCTTACGACTGTATTCATAATCAACCTTTCTCTTCAATTCCTAGTATTCCTCCTTAATCGACTTTCAACACTAAACTTCCTCTTTTGGCCTCCTCAAGTGTCACCATAGCTAACGATTCTAGTGCGCGAAACACTGTCCCAGGTCTACTGAAACCTCATTTCAAACTACACATTGGAGCCTTCAACGTACGCACCCTGTGTCAAATCGGCCACCAGGCCTCCCTCCCTCAGGCTCTAGAATCTCGTACTATTAATGTATGCTGTGTCTCCGAAACACGCATGCAGGATCCTGGTGTGCTCATTCAGTCGAATTCAACTTGCTAAAATGGAGAGCCAACGAGATACCCCGCGTGTATCTGGCAACCCAATGGCTAGTTCTCGTCGACTGGCAGGTGTTGGTATAGCACTAAGTACGAGAGCAGAACAAGCGCTATTAGAGTAGATCCTTATTAACAGTCATTTATGTGCTGTTCGAGTAATCGGGTCCGTAAGAAATGAAAAGGATAGGGAAACACGTCGTTGCCTTTTCGTTGTTTCTGCGTACGTTCCCATTGACTTCAGTCCAGAAAGTTCTCTGAACCTCTCCATAAAGCTAAACGTTCAGACATAGTACTCGTAGCAGGTGACCTTGATTCCCAAGTAGGTAGCTTAAGCCAAGCAGAAAGACATTTAGGTGGGTATTTTGGCATTCCGGCACAGCGAACAGATAATGGTGATCGTTTGCTGCAACTGTGCTCAGACGATCGTTTATTTTTAGCAAACTAGTTTTAAGCATAAGGAGAGACATCTAACATGTCGATCCCCTGTATCAAACCAAAGATGGACTCATATATACCATATTGCCATCAGTCATCGTTGGAGAGGCTCGATAGAAGACTGTCGCTCGTTCTAAAGTACATGTTTAGACTCCGATCATGCTCTAATACGAGCACGCATTTGCTTGTGCCTCACTGGATGCAGAAAAGGCACATTAGGAAGACCCACTAGAATTGAACTGAGTGACGAGAAAGCCAAAAGTAGATTTCAGGAACAACTGAGGTCACACTTAGGTAGCTCTGGGAACGAGGCTGACCCAGATGTTGCTTGGAAAGATAAACAAACAGCTGTGGAATCAGCACGGACATCTATTATTGATTTAAACAAAAAGTTTACAAAAAGCCAGTGGATTTCTTCTAAATCTATTACACTGATGGATTCTCGTAGACTCATTCCACCAGGCTCTGAACACGTTAGACAGCGAAAACAAATCAGATACAGGTTAAGCAAAAGTCTAAGGAACGACCGTGAGCAGTAGTGGGCATCGGAAGCAAAAGAGATAGAAAAGGCAGCGGCTGTAGGTAACACGAGACATTTCTTTAGACTAATAGAAGAAACTGGAATTAATAAGTCAAGTGTAAGTGAGACTATCTCAAAAAAGACGATACTTATCTGCTCTCAGTCCGGAATACTTTAGAGAACAGTTTAACTGAACTTCAGCTACTCTAAAACTACCCTCCATTCCCAGACAGCGTGAATGGAGCATTGAAGTAGGTCCCCTGACTCTAGTGGAAGTTCAAAAGGCTATAGTTAATCTGAAACTAGGAAGAGAAGCTGGTCCAGATGGATTGGCTCCAGAGGTCTCTAAGGATGTTGGTCCAATTTTGGCGACTGGGTTGACTAATATTTTGGCTAAAATCTGGGAGTTAGACGTAATCCCATCTGACTGGTCACAATCACTTATCGTTCCAATATATAAGAGAGGGTCAAAATCATCCTGTGACAACCACAGAGGGATTAGTTTAACTAATATAATATCTAAAATACTAGCCTCGATAATTATCAGACGCCTAACTAAGACTCGTGAACTGCAAACACGAGAGAACCAAGCTGGCTTCAGACCTGGTCGTGGCTGCATAGACCACATATCCACCATTCGTCAGGTTCTAGAACATAGGCATACTTACCGGCGTCCGACAATGGTGGTCTTTCTTGACTTAAAAGCAGCATTTGACTCGGTAGACCGCTAGATTCTGTGGCAGTGTCTGTCATTAAAAGGCGTACATAAACCTTGTAAAGGCTCTTTACTCGAACACTACTAGTCGAGTCAGAGCTTATGGCGAACTGTCATCTGATTTTGCAACCTCAAGTGGTGTCCGTCAAGGCTGTCCACTTTCTCCATTTTTGTTCAACTTCATCATAGACCTACTGATGGAAATAACATTCTCGTCGACTGAATTCTCGGGTATTGATCTCCTACCAGGAGGTCCACTTATCGACTTAGAATACGCAGATGACATAGTCCTGTTTGGTGAAGACGCTGATAAAATGCAGATTCTTTTGGTAGCACTAAGCAACAATGCCAGAATGTTTGGAATGCGCTTCTCTCCCTCTAAATGCAAGTTGTTGCTTCAGGACTGGTCTGCGTCAACACCTGAATTAAGAATAGGGAGTGAAGTAGTCGAACGCGTCGATAACTTCACTTATCTTACAAGTCTGATCAGCCCTAATGGGTTGGGGTCTGGCGAAATCTCAGCACGGTTTCGAAAAGCTCGTTTGGCTTTTGCCAACTTACGTCACCCTTGGCGAAGTTGAGATGTCCGTTTATCAGTTAAGGGACGAGTATACTGTGCGGTAGTTCGTTCTGTTTTTTTTCTTTACGGCTGAGAAACGTGGTCATTAAGAGTAGAAGATACTCGTAAGCTACTAGTATTTGACCACAGATGCCTTAGTAATATTGCTCGCATCTACTGGGATCACCGGGTAAGTAATAGTGAGGTTCGGCGCGGGGTATTAGAGAATGATGGTAAATCAGTTGATGATGTTGTGAATCTTCATCGACTGAGATGGTTGGGCCACGTGTTACGTATGCCTGAACACCGACTACCACGACGTGCAATGCTATCCTGTATTGGAAATAGTTGGAAGAAAGTTAGGGGCGACCAAACCAAAACTTGGCATCAGTGCTTGAAGACACTAACTCCTAATCTGAGCCATGTTGGTAGATGCAGACTACTTGGTTGGGGTCCGCGTGACTTTCGTAACCAATGGTTGGAGACTCTTGGTGACATGGCTCAGAATCGATCACAATGGCGTCGGCGTATAAACTCTCTGTCTTCCCTTAAACTATGAGATTGAAATCACTTCATATCTTTCTTTCTACGAACTAATTCTTTCTTCCTGTACTATATCCTCATATCCAATCTTTCTTTTATATACTACCACCATTGAATTAGCTAATTCTATGAATCCAGTGTTTGCCTTTCTGTGCTGATGAGGTATGGCAACTTGGATCGATGCAAATGTATGCCTGGTCCTACGTTGTAGCTGACTGACCTACTGACGATAGTCGTGATTGGTGGTTGGGGACCTAAGTTGGAATCTTTATATTATACTGCTAGACACTCCATCCAATAGTATCTTGGAGAAAAAATAGACACATAAAATGACATAAGACTCATATTTAAGTATTGGAAATGAATTATGAGTTGTGAATGTTCGTCAGAAGTTGATGAAAACCTAGACTGCAACTTCATCTTACTTCTAAACTTGACTCATATTCAGTTTCCACCGATTATTTAGTCTTTTTGGGGTAGCTACTACTAATGTAATCAGTAGTAAGTTGTGTTTTCTAAATTTGGATTTGTTGATTATTTACGTCTGATGGTTTGGTACACAAGTTCCTTGTCTAGTACGTCTCTAACTTTTTTCAGTGATATATATAGGCAGGCTCGACCACTGTTTTAATGTATCAACTGTAGTCGGGTGCATAACGATTTATAGTATGTGTCTTTGTATTTGGGGAGTATGTATTGATTTTAAGTGTGAACTCTATATACTTGATTTCAGTGCATTTTTCATTGTATAAATTCCTTTTCTGTTGCTCTGGATTCAAGTGACACTTGTTCAGTTTGTTCATGTTTGCAAATAATTATGACAATTTAATTGATATATAGCTGAATGAACACGATTGTAATTCGAAATCTTCTAAGCTCTTGACCATATAGATCTTCCTTACAAGGTATGTGCTTGAAGGTAATCGAGGCTAAGAGAGAAACTAGAAGTCATATCCTAGTTTAAAGTGTCGTTAGATTAGTAGTTGTTACCATGAAACAAATCATTTTGTCTAAGAGACTTAATGCCATATTATGTTAATTGTTTCTCTTCTCAAAAGTTGCAGAGAATAGTTATGTATTTTCTGTATGTGTTGTCTATAATAAAACGGGGAATTGTTCTATTAACATCAATTATTCATAAAATTAGATTGTCCTGTCCTGTGGGAAGCTGGTTAAGAAACCTGTTCACAGAGAAGGCTTTGGTAATTCATCGATTCAAGCCTGATCTTTATGTTCGGAAACTATATATTCAACCCCTTAGTTTACCACAGTCTTATGACCCACCTCTTTTTATCCTATTAGTTATTTCTTGATACCTGTTTGTTTTCTCTTCACCTTCCTATGTATTCTTGAACCAAACAATCAACTTTTACTTATCTGTCCTATATCGTATTTTGTTTATTATTTTCTATTTGTTCTTTTATTATCAAGTAGACGATATTTCATATCGCGCTTAGTACTGTATTTCATTCTTACTGTTACCCTTTGACACTGAGATGATGTTAAATTTCCGTAAATTTTTAGTACTTCTGTTAATAAATATGATTGTACACCTTCACTAAAGATTGGTATAATTTTTAATTCAATAAATAACAAATTATATAATAGAAGATTAGGTTATCTGTCTAGATAGGTTATCTATTCTCGTTTATGCCTATACATTGTTTTGTATTTATGTTACAAATCACTTATTTGTAGTAGTTCACTCTTTTCTTCACTTTGTTTTTCCAATAGCAACATGTACGGAACGAACACTTGATGAATATTTAGAAGCAGCTGTACTAAATCATCAAACAAAATCCGATCGTGTTACTCGTATTCCAATTGAAAGTGTATTGAATGATGACAAAGAGTCAAGTTCAGTGACATCTGCTGTTCATAAATCAAAATCCGTAAGTTCATCGTCATCAGCCTATAATGTTCAATATTCTCCGCCACGACGACAACAACCACATGCTATTCATCCTTATCCATCAAGACTTACGTCTTTTGCTGATCCTGAAGATTCAACTATCCAAATAGCTTTACCGCCGAATATAATTTATGCAGGTGGTTAGTTCTGTCATTTTATCAGCGATTAAGGATGCTTATTAGTACAATTCTGTTGTTATACGTCAGTGAGTATTACTAATAATAATGATACTAATACTTAACCAAGAGCACTACTTTTCAACTTATTTTCCTACCCATGTACTTTTATTTTAATTTTTTTGTGCAAATAAATTTGTCTTTCTTTTTGAATATTTATTTATTTTTTGAGAATAATGTTCTGAATTTCTTTTTTACTGATCTCGTTTATTTGTCGTTCTTCTTTTGACTTGTTTTTGATTTCGCTTGTCGTTTGAATTTGTATTTGTATCTGCAAAAATACATATGTACACATTATTATTATTATTATTATTACTATTATTATTATTAATGTACAGAGGAATGTACTCAGAAATAAAAGTTAGTTTGAAGGGAGGAAAAGTGCAAAATTGTTGCTTTTCCCTTTGTTTTCACTTCTCTGTCTGGTTATTTTTCTTGTTAAATCTCACCAATGTGAAGTGAATTTAGTTGACACCTACTTGCGTTTATCCGTTCTTTTGTTAAATGTGAGTTATGATGTGCAAGTTTAATTTCATGCCATTCTCAATTAGTGTTTGGAAAGAAGCAACACAATAATAGTAGTATATTGAGTGAATTTGCATCCCCTCACTATTTTGCCTTTGTTTTGAATCAAGTTAGTCGTTTAACCCTAATATCAGTATTTTTTTACACAAAAAAACTAATTGTAGATCGTTAGCAAATTGTATTTATGCTTAAGAATCTTCAGTCAATCTATAATACAGTGTAAGATAGATTCGTTTCAGTTGCTTCATTTGTTAACTGTATGTAATGCGGAAAATAATTAATTTGAGAGCGATAAATACTTTTAGAAATAAGAGTTTGAATTTTTCCATCATCGGAATCGAGGTATATCCAGTTGGCGAATCCCTTTTCTCTTGTGCACAAAATGTGTGTATATGTAAATATTCCAGAATATGGTTAATTTTGAGCTCTATCATCAGAATATCCAACATGAATTCTCATAATCCCTAATTATAGATTACTATTTGGTACCCTTAACAATCCCAATAGGCCATATTGTCAATTGACTACCGTTTTTCTCTGGTGTCTTATCTATCTGGTATCTTATCCTTGTGGTTAGTGATATGTTCTTGCTTCAGTATGCAGCCTCATTAAATTCTTGTTTATCAATGTTTAGCGAAATTAAATTTAAATTTGCGCTTGTTTTGTCGCAGGATGGATGACAACTAGGCATGCGATCGAACTATAATAATTCCAAATGAATAACGTTTTAGTTACATAGGAAAACTAATTGAACAAATGCTGATATCTTGTTATTGCTTATGTTCAAGATAGTGCAATTGCTAACGTCAACAGTTCTTTTTTTGTTGTTTAAGATTTGAACTTATTTCAATGCAATAATACGGTTAACAGAAACTGCTGAACCATACTGATGCCTAATATAAAAGGATCTATCGAAAATTTACGTCGTCAACTACGTTCAATTCGATTTAGTTATGATGTCAATTTTCAAGGGTAAGTTCTGGTTATAGTTTCACATAGATTACATTTATTGTGAATACTTTAAAGATGTCCTCAATAAGATCAGTCTATTTATTATTCCTCTCCTGTTAAATACTTTGTACTATATGTATATCTTACTTAGAACTGGTTCACTAATATTTGAGATTCTATGTTGTTTATCTGTATACTATTCCATAATACGACATCATGATATATCGATTAGAGAATGTTGAGTTCCTCTGACTACATCCCAATTCAAAAATAAAGTACATGTTAATGTAAAATCGCCTTTGACCCATACTTTTCATGATAATGCTATTGATACTATCCACCTAACCGAAATGATACAGACAAAGAAAAGTCTAAATCTACGGCCCATCGTTTGAAAATCGAGTACGCTTACCTATGGCTTTACCTAGATAAGTTAATGAACTGTTGCATTACATCATTAATTAATTTAGGCTGATAGTATTAGATATTGGCCTCACATCTGTTACCTCAACTGAAAGACTTATATCTCGTATGGGGTCTCAAAAAGAATTATATGTGCTTGTTTTATATTAGTAGGCTTATCTATTTATCTGCGGTTTTCAATGTCCGTTCAAACGATACCACTCCATCACTAAGAATATCCTTGCAACATCGAGAATCGACTAAAGTTTGAAGTGTAAAACGTTAGACGCTATTTCAGTGGGCCTGTAGGTTAAGCTTTACTTAGAATTTACTTACACCTGTTGCTCCCAATGGAGCATAGGCCACAGACCAGCATTTTCCAACCCACTCTGTCCTGGGCCTTCCTTTCTAATTCTATCCAATTGTTGTTCATACCGTAGAACTGTCTTGACCTTTTTTATTGAAAATTCTGACCTTGGGGTTGGTTGACAGTTGTTTTGAGTTCCAGATGTTTTTCATTTGTAAATTTATTTATTTATTTAAACATATAAACATTGGTACAAGGAGGCACCAAATAGATATGCGCCACATAAATCATTCGATTTTTGTGAGGGCTGTGATACTGCTCGGGTGCCCAGACCGAAGCAGTTGGTTATCTTAGGGGGCCACACCCCGAGCCTTTGACCTGAAGGTCTGACCCACAAGGCAGTGGAGCATCGTGAGGAGATGCAGTCCCATGGTAGCCAGCGACCAATGATTGGTTCACACGCCATTTGTTCCCGCAGGATACTGGAGCCCATGTGCACTATTGGTTTGGAATCCGGTTAAAGCTCCGGATATTCGCTTTTCGTCCTTCAATTTCGTAAACAACACCCCCGCCACGAAAAGGCAGTGAGTTGGACTTCCCTGGCAGGGGCTGTATACGCGTGGCTGTGTGCGAGCATTTCGAGAGGGAGGGCGGGCCCACCCTACTCGGCCATACCAAGGCATTTGGGGGCAAACCTGGATGCACTGGACGACCGTTTCGTCCTATTGTGGGACTCCTCAGCGGTGCGCATCCACGGCCCCGCCTCGCGGGATTCGAACCCAGGGCCTATCAGTTTCGCGCCAGTCGCTTAACCAACTAAACCACTGACCTTGCTCTTGCCTTGCCGATCAGCGCCTTCATATCTGTATCAGGTCGACCGTGTTCATCAATGATGCTGCCCAGACATGTAAATGTTTTTACACCTAAATCTTCTCCGTCAAGTGTGATTCGATTGTTCCATGCTGTGTTGTATCGGAGAATCTTGCTTTTCCCTTTGTGTATGATGAGAACTACTGCTTCTGAGGTTCCTGCTGCACTGGCCATCTTCTCCTGAATTTGTTGTTGCGTGTGCGATAGAAGAACCAGATCATCTGGGTAATCTAGATCGTCCAGCTGCTTCCTAGCTGTTCACTGTATCCCATGCTTCCCCCCAGATGTTGACCTCTTCATGATCCAGTCGATCATTAGGAGAAAGAGAAAGGGTAAGAGTAAGCAACCTTGCTTGACACCGGTCTTCACTTCGAACGACTTTGTCAACTGTCCTCCATGCACGATTTTGCAGTTTAATCCATCATAGGAATTTCGTATGATATTTTCTATCTTCTGAAGCACGCCGTAGTGTCGAAGAAGCCTCCATAATGTTGTCCTGTCCACGCTACCAAATGCTTTCTTGTAGTCAATGAAGTTGATGTAAAGTGATGAATTCCATTCAATTGGTTGTTCCACAATGATCCGTAGTGTTGCGATTCGGTCTGTACACGATCAATCCTTACGGAATCCAGCCTGTTGGTCTAGAAGTTGGGTGTCTACGGAGTCCTTCATTTTGTTTAATAATACCCTGTTGAAAACTTTTCTTAGTATTGAGAGATGAGTGATGTCCCTGTAGTTATCACACTTACTGAGATCGCCTTTCTTTGATATTTTGATCAGAATTCCTTCTTTCCAGTCTTTTGGTACTTGTTCTTCATCCCAAATTTTTATTAAAGAGAATGTGGAGTGTCTTTGCAGTTGCTGCTACATCTGCTTTCAGTACCTCTGCTGGAATGTTGTCTGGTCCCGCTGCTTTACCGTTCTTGATCTGTCTGATCCTTAAGTACTAGTCGAAATTCCCTATGATCATGGGGTTCAATCATTGGTGGAGTTTTGAATTTACACTTCCAAGGTGTCCCGTACTAAAACGAAATAGCTGTCTACTACTCCCTAGTTTTCAGCAGTTTTTTAATTAAAATCAGTCCATGATTTAACATTTCAAATACATAGCATTCGATTTGACCATTAATAACTAGAAAATAATTACGCTTAACAGTCTAGTGAGTTATATTTTGCCTATGCTATATATAGATACATGTTTTCATGTTTATTTTAGTATGGTGTTGGGTCAGTCATCTGCATTTGTTGAATTTTATCGGCGTTTACTCTGTGATTATAATGCAAAAGTCACCAGTTACCTCGTTGAACTTGGATTTGGAATGCTCGGTATGATTTTACAATAAGTTAATACATCCATTATTACCATTAATAAATTTATGTTTTCTTCTTGTCAAATATGACACTATGTGTGTAGATATTATCTTGAGTGCATATTCTTGTGAAGTTATTTTTGCGTTTTTGAATTGGATTAAATTTTAAAAAATACTATGCTAGACTGGATTTCATGTACTCCTAGAAAATCGTAAACCTAGACAAAACCAGTGTCAGCGGAATTTCTCTCAACGCAAACTCATAACAAGTAAGTCACGTTACTTCTTATATAATTATCACATATATGACTTAGTGATTGAAAAATTTAACTTCAGACTATTCAGCCTCAGGCTTGAAAACAGCTTCACCTCATTTCAGGAAGATGATTAGTATCGTTAGGCTTCACACACAAAACTTTCTGTTCGTAACCAGGTAAATAAATTTGTACTAGGCAAATAATACATTCAATTTTACCAAGTATTATCCATAATTATCACTTCATTCATTTTTTTCTTGATCCGTCATATATGTATATAAATTCAGGCACAACAGACAGCAGATTTATGGAAGTGCTTTATCGTATTCTTCGAGATGTTTTCTCTTATCGACCATCGATTACAATGGCACAATTTTTTGTGACTGGATTTGCAGAACGTAAAATTGAAATGGCTACCACTGTTGCTTTACATATAGGATCCTTAATTAAACATCAAGATAAGAATAGAATACATTCCAATTATTATCATCATCAACGACAACACGAGAGCCGACATCATAATGATCAGTTGAAGGCTAATTTGAACACACAAATACCTTTAGTGTTGCCTGGAGTTTCATTGCATCGATCAATTGAGCGGAATGTTGAAAAATCACTTGTTCCATCTAATGATAACAGCAATAATAATGATAATAATACTGAATTGTGTAGAAAATTTGTACATTCCAGTGGAAAAAGTCCTGTACTCTATAATGATTTATCGAATGAAATCAATTGTACTGTTTTAAATGGTAATAAAACTGTTCAAAGTAGAGAATGTTCACAAGAACCTCATAACCGTGGTAATGATCGTAATGTAAATGGTAAAGAAGCAAAGTTTTACAGGACAAAGACACTAGTAGGTTTTTTTTTCCTTACGTATTATTACTATCATCATTATTATATATATTGGTGTTCATCATCACTTGTAAAGAATTGAATTTTTCTCTTTGTTGACATTCATTGTCTAAATTAATCTACCAATCTGCAAATTTATTGAATGGACGCCTTAATACTGCTTGTATTTACATGATTAGAATTTTGTATAGTTGCTTTTAGTGAACATACTCGTTGAACAAGTGACTTCCATGATTCAAGAGACTAACAAATAACGTTCTCGTATTTGAAGCGATAGGCACTGGGTTCCAGCTTCAGCTGGATGTAGGTATGTATATGCATCTGACTTGTTTCAAATAAAAGAAATTTATTTATTTAAACACGTAAACATTGGTATATAAGGGCACCAAATACATATGCACCACACAATAACAGTGAGGTGAACAGATAGAGAATGTAAAGTGCGTATAATGAAGAGAAGAACAACAACAAACAGAAATTAGTGTATGAGAGTGAAATGATAGTAATGAGAGAAACATTTCAGTTAGCAAAAATGCAACCAAAAAGAATTCTTTCAGTCAAATAAGTTACGTTTACTTTTATGAAGTAAAAGAAAGTTACAGCAGGATCGCCACTGGCTTTTATTCTGAGCCATGTCTGATAATTTTTCTAGCCACTGTGTTGCACCATTTTTAGGACCACAACCAGGGAGTCGTGAAGGACCAACAGAAGCCAGCTCTGTACAGTTTTCTTTCATATTACAACACCATGTCATACACTGATCACCTCTCCGCTTTCTCCAACCAGTCACAGTGTCGGCAAATAGTGCGCGACATGGAATTCTCTTGGACAACGTTCGTAAGATGTCTCCAAACCACCGAAGTCGGTGTTTCAAGATAGTGAAACCAGTTGAATTATCGTTGCTGTGCCCTAACACACGATGCCGAACTCCTGCATTACTGACATGGTTTTGCCATTGGACGTCAGCAGAGTCGTCTAACGTCCTCAACTCGGAGAGGCCATGTTTCACAAGCATACTTAAAAACTTCTCTCACCGATGTGTTATAGACCCAACCCTTTACAACCAGACTAACATCACGAAGGCTCCAAAGATGCTCCAAGTTGGCATGAGCCGCTCTGGCTTTCACTATACGTAAATTAATCTCACGCCACCACCAGCATTTACACAGCTACCCAGGTACACAAACTCCCCGACTACTGTCCGCTCACTATTTAGTTACAACAGAAGCTGCAACCAATTCGCTGACATCGATCTGTTTAGGACGATGAATTTGTTGGCCACTGAAACGTAAGGTAAGACTAGTTCAAACAAGGGTATGATCAGAGTCCAGATAGATACTCCAAAGGAGTGGCAGTCTTGTACACAACCACGCCAGAGGTAGTTTATCGCGATATGATCAATCTGAGTCCAGGTTTTAGATGCAGAGGGAGAACGCCAGGCAGCACATCGGCGATGACTGTGTCGGTAGTTAATGCTAACCAGAAACAGGTTGTATTCTGCGCATAGTTGCATTAGACGGTCACCGTTATCTGACCTGCAACCAATAAGTCCCCATCAGCCACCTCAACGACTCTGTTCTGTGCGCCTAGACACCTGAATTGAGCATCCAAGTTTATAGCTAGTACTACAATATCTGTCGAATGCACTTTCTGTAGAATAGTTTACTGGTTGTAAAACTCATCTGGGCTGCAATCTGTTGGAGCTATCTTTGGTTTATCTATTAACCATGATAAAAAAATCGAAAGAATATATTTCAGTTAGAAAAGAATGTTTGCTAGGCGTTATACGATCTACATGGAGCCATGCTGTTTATTTCTTGATAATTAACCTATCTCTATCCGTTATATTTACAATCGTAACACTAAACTAAATAAATTGACAACGAAGTACGGTACTGTTGGATAGCTAGAAAGTCTGTGTATCTCGAACTAATGTCATTTCATATTCATCGTCAAAATGCGTCTACAAAATAAAGCAGAGATATGCAATCTTAGGCGATATAATACTAGGTCAACATGGCAGTGTTAGACGTCAAGAGTGATTTTACTGAACCACCGTTGATAATCTGTCAGCCGATCAGGTTTGAAACTAAAAAAAATCATTGCTTAAGAAAACTTCATTTGAAGTACTAAAATAACTTTATTTTTCTTCCTTCTAATTGTTTTTATTCACTGAACTTTTAATTCGTTTTACAAATCATGAAATGGTTTAATTTTCTTAAATCCTATTTTGTATAATATTCAGAATACTGATCTTAATTCACGTGATCAACATAACAAATTCAAAAATGAATATGCTCAGTATAAACACATCTATCATGCCCATCATCCATTTGACAATAACAATCCACGACGTTCTTATACATCTCATACACTATATGAAAATTGTACAAAATTATCCGATCATAAATTGACCGCTTCTACTACTGGATCCGTCAGTACGGTGACTGCAACTTCAATGGTGCCAATAAAATCACTTGATGCCCCAAATAATTCGAAGCAACGCTCAAAAGAGAATTATTGTACTTCATCATCATTTAAATATCACAATAATAATACTAATGAATATTTGTTATTCAGTAGCAATGATCTTCCTCCAGTGGTTGATCATCAGGATAATCAATCTAGTTTAATGAATCATGAAGATCTTCGAAATATAATGAATTCATTGTTCCAATTAACGGGTAAAGTGAATGGTATGCTTACACGTATAAATAAATTAGAGAGTAGACTAACAAATGTTGAAACTGATTGTTCGTTTAATCATCGTTCAAGAACATATAGCGGAGTAAGTTTATGGCTAATTTTTTATTCATTCATCATTTTTTTTCTATTTTAAAAAGGAATTTAGTCTTGAAACGTTTTGTGTGTGTCCTTATATATGCATCTCACTAATGTAGGTAATTAGCTTGTGATCAATAGCTTCTTTTTCCTAATCTACTTTTAACTCGTTTACCGGATACAGATTCTTGTAATTGGCTTTGACCCACACTTTAAATGGGAGGGCTAGTGATTCTAATACTTGGTTGTCCAAACCGAAATAGATGAAGCAGGGTTTAAACCAGAGAATCAGTGAATAAAGTTCTAGAGATTTATCCATTTATTTGAATAAAAGCAAGTAGGTGGTATTGGCGTTCCCTAATCTTGCTACATATATAGACGTGTATCTCATTCTCTTTTTCTAACAAAAGTATGTATAATTGATGAGATTATTGTTAACAAGTCGCTCAGCTTGTCTGTTAAATTATGAATGACATGGTGGGGAGCGAATGTGGACACTTAAAATAACTGTTCTGAAAGCAAAAGGAGATGTAACAGAAATCATTCAGTGGTTCCTACCTATATACAAGCATGGCCTCACAACAGTTCCCCACCGTGAAAGTTACTGGTAGAAGATGAAGGCTGCGAACAATAAATGATGCGATAAGATGGTCCAAAAGGGGAAAACAGCAGCCAGGCAGCTTATAAAAGACTGGCAGACTACAAAATTGACAGAGATGCATGGGCAAAGGGATTTGTTAATGGTTCAGAGAGGTAGTCATTTTTGAAGTAACTGTGGAAGGAAAAAGACATGTACGCCACAAGGATCATTTGCTCAGGAAACCCAAAGAAGACTGACCAGAGGAGTTCACTACAGCCGTGGATACCCTCATTGATTCTTGTAAAGAAAATACAGAAGTGACACAAGAACCTATAAAAGAATTGCTACTCTGAAGAAATAAACGATAGCGAAGGAAAATCATAGAATTTCAGGTGCAGTGAATGAACTTTGGAAAAGGAGAAGTCCTAAGGCTAACAAATGATTACTCAATTTTTATTAATACTGCTCAAGTCTTGCTAGTGGCAGAAACTGTGAGTGCTTTTTTCCAATCCAATTTTGAGCACGATCTTTACCGTTTTCTAATCGGTCGCTAATTTTCTGTACACTTGGAGGTCAAATCTATGCCTTCGTTGCTCTGTATGTTGAGTTATGTCATTTTAAGTTTGCCGACTTGAATATCAAGTTTTCCTTACACTTCATGTTATCGAGTCCGCAATAGGAATATTCGTATTAAAATAGCTCGGTTGTTTCTAATATCCAAGTGTGGTAGCACAACCAGAATCCCGAATGCGTAGTGGTTTTTATAGAGACATAACCGATAGACATACAGATAAAAAAGGTATATAAAAGGAACATGAATGGCAATTTAGGGCTAGTAATATAACTGGATACAAGAAAACCAATAAAACGAACGTGATGCACTTTATGGCCACGCGACTGGTCTGATCTTATGTAAACCAAAAGAGTATGCAATTGTATAAACTTGTGATGTATGAATTCACCATCTGAGATTTCTGTCTCTGAGATGTTTTTGGATGGTGTTGTTTCCTGTGAGTTGGATGGGAAGCGTTCATTTCCATTCTGTCAGCAACAATGTTCGTGTTATGGTGTGTTCTGCTATGCGTTCATAGAAGTAGGTGACCTTGACTTAATCGATAATATCGACTGGGTTTCAATTTATTGCGAACACTGAAAGTCCTTGAACAATCGATAAATCTAGATTATGCATTATCAATGATAGATTGTAGATTTTGAGATGGTGGGTTGTAGCTTACGCTATGAATTTCTTAGTTAGTTATTACCCGAACATTTATGAGAAACATGAAACAGGAAACATTAATTTTCCTAATTAAGGACACTGTTGTTTGTATTCATTGCGATTATCGGTTTCAGGTTGTATGTGTTTTTTTAAAAATGTTAACCTATAGAATACTGTTGGTTCAAATCAACCACTCACGGATTCAATTGATATATATGGTAGTAGGAATATTGCCAATCCTACTAGTTTACCTCATGTTGTTACAGGAAAATATAGTAATTATTTGCCCATTAACTCAACAAATTCACTTGTCACATCTAATAGTGGCAGTTCTACGTTGGATACGTTCAATGAAACGAAGTGCACAATTGGGACAAAAACAAATACTACCACGAATGCTGTAATATCATCGTTACCAGTGACAACGGCGACAACAACAACCAACTCTTATGATGTTAAATCGTATGCAGATCGTTATATTCCAAGTTATAATAATAAATTATCTGAGTCTTTCTTATCAAAACCTAAATATTTAACATCAACAAAATTGAATTTACAAGATAACAACGATTATCATTATTCAGTTGCTAGTAATCAAGCTATAATGGATAAAACAGAAAGTCAGAACGTGAAAATTTCTATAAATGATAATCATCAATCTATCAAAAATGTTCCGAATACTTTTAATTCATTCCATGATTCATACAAATACAATGAAAATTGTTATGACTTATCAAGTCGGGTTAGTCTATTTATTTATAGATTATATTCATATATATTTTGCCTCTTTATAGTTTATGTCATTTAAAAAAATTACTGTGAGTCTAGAGATATTTACGTAGACTATATAGTTTGTATAATGTTCTTCTCTGTGTTGTAGGGTTCTTTCACACAGAGGCGAAATTAGATAAAAATGTTGAATTCAGCACTTAGTAAGACTGGAACAATGAAGTATAAGCAACATTTTGGTACGTAACGAGCAAGCAACATTTCGGCCGTTACGTAATCGTACAGGCGATTTTTTGTTTTTCTGCTATATCCGTTTCTTCGGTGCTAGCACTTCACACAAATGCATCACAACCCTTTTGCGTAGCCTGGAGACATGTCAAATGATTAATACGACCTCTACGGGTGTCCATACATCCGCTAGAAGAATTATCATGATATCATCTCCTTCTAACATCAGATTTCAATTGATTAGAGGTTGTGAGACATATAGACTATTTTCTTCCAATCGCCTATAGTATTTTAATCATGTTTATTTTGTGTTCGTATTCTGTCATTTTATTATTTTTAAAAAATCCATCCCTCTGGCTAGTGGTTTTGTCTTTGATCTTTAATCATCTCGCGAGTAGCCATTATTTCGGTCACATTACATCATTGCGTTCATCTGTCGATTAGCATTCTATTAATCGATTTTAACAGTCGAAATTTTGTTTAACTAAATCACAGAAAACCTCCTTTATAACATAACATCCTTGTATCAAGTTTTAAGAAAGCTATTCAGTATAAGAAGGCTGAATTCTAGTATTATGTCGTAACTGATGTAAAATTCAAACATATTCTTAGTATAACAATGTTATGTCTCCAGAACGCATTGACAAATGTCATGTGCCCAGTCACATATCAGAATCCTAGTTCCGATTTGGTCTTCTATTAGCTTAGTGTCTCTAACTCGGCCGAATACACGCCCGATCAGCACGATTGTCCCTGAGCCGGCAGCTAAGTTCTTATTGGTCAACTATTCGTTAGTTCCTCTCTATTCAAAATTAGTAATCACCCTCCACTATCTTCATATCTCAAACAGATGTGATTTATGTACAGACATACCGGACCCACCACACCATAAAATGAAAACTAACAGTCATGCATAAGCAAGCTAAAAGTGGCTGTGAATGGAGGAGACTAAACAATAAAATGACAATTAAATAGGAATGGTAAGTCGTACGACAGTAGTTTATGGGTTATTCGAAAGCTTGGGTTAAAAGGCCCCGAAATGATCTGATATGGCCGAGGGTAGGGAGAGTCCGCTCTGCCACTCGAGATATGACCATATGATCATGCGTGTATAACCACTGCTAAGAAATTCCTACATACTCCCCTCTCACGGTGGGGGTGTTGTTTACGAAATTGAGAAGACGGGAAGTGAATATTCGGCGCTTAAACCGGGTTAGTGAGTGCGGACAATCCACCTAGGGGAGTTGGAAAATCTTGATTTCAAGCCAGTGTTACACATATTCTCCAGGATCCGGAAGAAACGAAGGACACATAAAGCTATTCTTGATCGCCGGTTATTATGAGACTACATCTAATGTTGCTCTACTCCCTTGTGGATTAGACTTCTAGGTCAAAGGCTCTGTGAGTGGCCCCCTTAGAAAACCTTCTTTCGTTTGCACACCCAAACAGCATCCCAGCCCATAAATATTCTATGATAACTTTGTATAGCGCATGTATATTTGGTTTCACTTTGTGCCAATCTTTATGTGTTTAAAATAAAAATGAAATGATAAAATGAATACATAAGTACTTGTTATAACGCTCGGTTTTACTTCGTCTAATGTTATAACGGTTGGGTTTCCACGTTTACACGTATGGGACGTTAATTTACCTTAAACGATTATCTACACTAGATTCCCTCTCAGTGTCTATTCTACAGGACTTCAACACAACTCAGATCAAGAACATGTGATTAGCCTGATCACAACGTAAATATATTTCCACACCAAAACCAGACACAGTCCAACAACAATGAACAATCAATAATAATTGTGTCGTAATAATAATAAGGATAAGGGAATCTATAACTCATCTGACACCTGTCAGACTATCTACATGTCTGACTAAGCGGATAACCAATCATTATGATTCTCGTCCACACATCAGTACTGTAATGTAGATACTCAGTAATCATATAAAAAAGTATAATTAATCATTCGGAAAACCGGTTTAAACTTTTACATTATTCGTTCCGTTATAACAGTCAGTTACTACTTATTAGGTTGGATCGTTATCTTGCTATCTATAGTAAGTTGACCATGATTATTGATATAGACCATTGAATTTCGATTAATTGTTTAGACTCGCTAGACCCGAAGTTGTTGTTTTAGATCCTACGTGTTCGTCGTGGGTGCATATTTTTGAAGACAGACCTATACTAGGGTGAAAAAGCTATCGACTGCTCTCTAATATTCAGTAATGGTTCTTCAACTAACTGATTTGTCAATCTGCGAAAAAACTGTAACTGCACAATGTGCAACTCAGCTGAATGGACGGAATCATCTATAGGAGTAAATCGTCCAATAAGATGGAAGCATGTAGCAGTTTACATCCAGCCTTGAAGGCATTTTATATGCTATGAAGGGGGAGTATGCAAATCAGCGTGTGCGAAGTCTGAAATAGAGAAGAACAAGAGTAAAAGACTGTGAACGCATAGGATAAAATTACATTTAATAATGTAGTCAGTTGACGACAATTAGCAATACCACATACATGAAATTAAGACAGTCTGATAATGGAAACTCAAAGTTAGTATAGTAAGAAAAAGTTACAGAAATAATCTTTCAAAGTCGCGCAATTATCGTATGGATACTATGCTAAGTATTAAAATTAAGATAATTTGTTTAAATCAAATATCGATCGTAAAAAACGTGTGTCAACTAGAATTTTGCTAACATTTGTTACTTTTACTGACCTATTTCCTATATTGACAAAATTTAAGTAGATGAATTAACAGAAAAGTCTCCAATTCGTTTTTACTCTATGAGCTTAAAGATGTTGTGAACTTTAAATTAACACACTAAAACCTTCAATACGAAATTCTCGGACTTTTCACTCACGTAACCGGTGAATAACATCAATTCAGAAAACAAAAAGTTTTGTAAACTGGTCTATTGAAATAATATCTAATAACAAGGCACAATGACAAATAATCTAACATTAAAATGTTTGTAAACTTGATGATGATCCGTTTTGCTAACAATTACGTGTAATAAGTACATTAAAGAGATATGGAGCGGTGACTCCAATGGTTGGGACGTTCAGCTTCTAACTGGTAACTCCACTCTATGGAATTCGGTTTCAGAAACTAGTCTTTACACTTAAATTGGCACCTAAAGCCTATTACACAAACCTGTAATTGGTTAATGAGTTACTAAAATGCTAGAGATCATTGCTAATGGTATTTTACTAGGGGAAATAATCTTGTAATTCGCCTCTGCCCCCGGGTCGCATTCGAAATATATTAAATTTCCTTCTGATTTGTTCGATGAAATAGACATTGTAGTTCAAAATGTCTGCTTTACTAATGTAACAATTATCTCTTTGTTTAAAAACTTGTGAATATTTGAACGATATCCTAACTATAGTAGTCAAATTTGTTGGTAGACTGAAAATTATGTTTTCTAAGTAAGGTCTGCTTTTAAGTTATTGGATACTAAATATGTGCTAACTTTTTGTACAGGACATATATATGACAGCATGATCCATTGTAATAGAGTACGTAATTATCAAAATCGACTATCAGTTTATACTGTTTTCAATAAAAGTATGTTTATAGTTTTATTCATTATTTTGCACTGTATTAAAGAATGAAATTCCAGAATCCGTTCATTCTAAATATGCTGACTCTTTGAAAACTATCAATCATCGATCATCTAGATTACTTGATCTGAATACTTGTTCACTGGTCGATTTAGATCAACAATCTGAAATTCAATCCCTTTCATTCGGTCGTAATAATTCGGCATTACCTTATCGTCCTAAATCATCTGCTGATTATTCTACCAGACATGATACATCTAATCCATTTGAGAATTCTTGTGGTCAGCGTAAAATGATGATACCTTTGTTGCCATTAAATTCATCACGTAAATCTGTTGAATCAAAGACTCCAATCAATCAGAAGTCCGAGGCTTCATATCGTGCTCAAGTGGAACGTATAACCAATATGTAAGTCATCTAAATTTTCCTTTCTTCAGTGATTAAGGATGCTTACTGCTGTAATCTAGGAGGTGACTTAATTCATTGGGCATTCGACTTTTAGTCTGTTGGTCACACGTTTGAGTCGCTCTCTACCTACTTCGATTAGGCTGCAGTGTTATCACTAACTCCTACATGTAAATTGTCACTGAAAGCTGGGTACACCAACTTGTACTTGTAAAGAGAGTCAAGTTACAAACCTAAGTGGCCAATCGGGCTCTCGTTTGAACATACAAAATGTAATGTTTCACAGCTCAATCCTCCCAATCTACATATAACAGTTCATCTTCCATAATGATCTTATCGTACTAACAGAAATCTTACAGCCAAGAAAATCAATATGTAAACTAAGGCCACACATATACACAGCCTCAAATAGAAATGCATCGGTTCAAATCGTTATACTTTGAAGTAGCATAAAGAAATGAATTCATCAGTTTACCAAAATAATTCAATGACACAAAAATTGAGGATCAATATGATTTCCGAGATCTGTTGAAAAATAAGTGGGTACATCTTCTCCAAGATAGTTGGTTCTGAGATATATTACTTGAAGTTCTCAGTCAATGACTGGTTATTATCTCTATGACTCTAATCACAAATCCTGAACTTTATACGATTAGCAGATGGACACCTCGCCTCCTACACATGTAATGCGCTTTAATAAAAACCAACAGAGCTTTCGTTAGATACCGACCAACCAGTGAACGTACTGAAATACTTCACTCTCTATGATCAATATAGACAATTACGCAGACCAGTTCTGAAGCAGCAGTATTTCGCATTTAGATGAAGCGGAACGCATTCACCCATAGTATTTCTAATATTTTACTTAGATGTTTTGTAAAATGACTAGTGTAGTTTGAAGCTAGTTTTCATCACGACCTTTTATAACCGGATAGAGGATTCTTGAAAGCCAAACTCACATTAAACATTCGTTTTTTTAGTTTGTGACTCCAACATTATACAGTCAGAGCCCTCATGTCTCTCAGTTGTCTGATACCCCCATGTAAATTTATAGTTGATGTTATTTCGTTATGTAAACTATGTTTAGTCATTTGATTAGTCATTTTAACCATAAATATGTGTTTTTGTAATTTGTATTCGTCACAACCTGATCTCAGTTGGGCTAGGAGTAAAAGCCGGAAAGCAGTAGTCAGTGGTTGTGTCTCAGTATGGGACTCCTTGAAGTTCGAATTGAATCATCAAAGCTTAAACCAGTGATTCTAATGGTTAAGCATTCGCTGCTATGTTGATGGTCCTGAATTCGATCCCTGGTGTGGTCGTAGATGTGCACTCCTGAGGAGTCCCAAACTAAGACGAATCGAGTTATCTAAGGTTTTCCGGTTTTCAATAATCTCGAAACTAAGGTCAGTCTGTGACAAGTACAACCTAAAAATTAGACCGATCTCCACGAAAACCTACCAACTGGACTATATATATATTCTTTCCCAATGTTTTCATTGTAGGCTTGCTGAAACCCAAAATCTTCTTCAAGAGCATTCTCCTGTTGTTAAAATGGACGAAATATTCAGCAGTAACAATAATAATATCATAACCAATGATAATAGTAATAATGCAGTGATTTTAAAAGCATAAAATTGAAATTCTTAGTAGATTGAATAATTTTTTTTATTATAAATGACTATAGTTGATGAAAAAGGAACCAATTTTTCGTGTGTCTGTTTTCGAACAAATAATGCTACATTGTTTGTTTGTCTTAATATGACGTACAGGTTTTTGTTCTTTTCGCATTTGTGTGTGTGTGTTCAGAAGAGAAAGAATGCATTTAGTTCTGTTTGTGATTGTTTTAAATGAAACAAACATACTAGTGAGTTACTTTAACATACAGAATAAAATGAACCTATTAATATCATCATCATCATTCGATACATAAAACGATCACATCAACTACACATTGATCTACCTACACAGATGACAGGGAATAATAAATATAACTGTCAGAAACACGGTTATAACGTGTTTCTTTCTTTTTTAAATTTCCAACTAAAAGTTGAAAATGGAACAGAAAATTCAAAGTATAATCTTATTCAAACGTCTAATTATAATTTCAGCAATGAAAAACTATCTCAGATATTTGTTATTTCTCCTTGTCAAATCACTTTATTATCAAATTATGATTATCTGTAGACTGTTTTCAAATTATTTTGTAAAGACTTTGTGACTAGAATATTATTACATTTATATTGTTTGCTCATTAGTGATAGTGTTCGTTTAATGGTGTTTTGGTTATTTGTTTTATTGAACATGTGCTTCCAAGTATATCCCAATCTGAATTAGTTAGAATAATAAACTATTAGTATGATTATTATTATTATTATTATTTGAAAATGCCTCTTCATTCACTCGAACTATTCTCTTCATGTTATAATTGATGATAGTAGTGACTTCTAAAACAAACCCGGTTGTATTTTTTCGCTAATATTATTGTTATGTTTTACAATATTCTTTCAACCCTTTAATCTTGATTTTGAAAATGTGTTTTCTTCTTTTTAAATTGTTTATCATTTCATAAAGAAAATTGAGTTTAGTGTGATATTAATATTGAGAGTATAAATATTAGAGGTGATTTACACCTTGGTAGTGAAATTTACGTTACTATTATTATTATTATTATTACTATTATCCAGTTTATAAGATTGTTACCGTTGTTCTTCCCCCTCCCTCTAGAAAATTGTATTCTTATTTAATTTTGTTTGTCTAAAATGATTAACATTAAAAAAATCGGTTATTCATGTGTCGTTGTTGTCTCAACTCTGACTATTGAATATTGTTTGCCAACGTTTTGGCTAAAGGTTATGCATAGCTGCTCGAAGCCTTAAGACTCAAACACACTGGATAAGTATTTATTTTTCTAATTAAGATTTAAGTGATAAATTGTACCAAATTTAGCTAAAAATGTACAGAACCAATGGTAGCGGATTAGCAACTGAACTAAATAGCTAAAATAAAACAAAAAATACGTTTGGAGCGACAACAGTTCATACTCAGTCAACTACTTTTATTACCATCCAAATCATTTGTATAGGATTAAAGCAACCAAACCAAAGACTAGTCAAAAGCTTAGGTTTAGCGCTAATATAGGTAAATAACTATATACCAAGGTTGAGTAAATAAATAAGAGGTAATCATAAAGCAAAAAAGCCCATAATTTATTAAACGTGTACATTCAGCAAGCAAAGCATGTTCAGCGCTGGCGGCACTAGAATAATGAAAGTGATGGTTGTGAACATTCTACATATGTTTTTACTAATTTTCAAAGAGAAGCGAAAGTCGGTATACGTAGTTTGGAGTGAGCGTTTAGGAGATAGGTGTTTACACTTCTTGATCTCCAATCGTTAGCACTAGTGGTGCATGAGAGATGACAACACACAAAAAGTCTATAATAGGAACAAAAGCGATTTATTAGTAAAGACATGCTTCCATTCTGCTAGCGATCAGTATCTGGATTCCCGAGTCGCGAAATATCTTTTCTCAAGGAATTGTATTAGTATTGATAGTTATATCGATTTAAAAGTGTGAATCCAAAACCAAAGGACAACTAGTTGTAATACAGCTTTTCTATTTGTTGCAAACGCTCTAAATCTTACGTTCGACAACAGGAATTCGTTAGAAAGGTTAATTCTGATGTCTTTAGGGTTTGCGTTTCCCAACCTCGCTTTCCGCTTAGGAAGGATCATCACTGCTGAAGGTGATGGTTATTCAGAAGAAAGAATCCACAACTCTAACATTGTCAGTCCTCAAACTCGATGCCTATAATCTTAGAGATCTCAACTAGAGATTACAATGTGAAATATTCAGTATACCAAAGATGTATAAGTGATGCACCAAGCAGCCTATGTATTTAGTCATTAGTGCAGTGATCGTCAGTGTACACTCTTGAGAATCCTTATACTAAGACGGTGTATTTGTCTAATTGAAGTTAATCCATATCTGATCAATCAGAATGACGGACCTGAGGTCATTTAAAGTCAAATGACTGCCTCAGATTAGCAGAATACTTATAGATGAATATAATTAGATAATAAATTGTTCTACAATAAATAATAATTAGCTTAGGCTAACAAACTCACATCCAGTGAAATAGATTCGGCAACAACAGTAGTCGACCCTCAGCTCAGGAAATTACAAAAATAACTAGTTCTATGTGAACGAATAGACAATAAAGGGACGGATAGTTTAATCAAAGAAAGAAGTTATATGATTAAAACAGCCAGTTACTCATGGATAAGTCATAATAAACAAATTTCACAATCCGTAGTATAAACGTACCTCGGAAATTCGGATTAATATTAACTAATTTAGAATTCCCGCATCAATATTGAAAATATTTAATACCTTGGTCCAATAATCGGTTTGAACTGAAGAATTTTACGCAATACACATTTAGAATAAATACAGCTCTAGTTCACTTAAAATTGTCTGATTGTTGTTAGGTCTGCAATTAGTCAGTCTCCTGTTAACATATATGCGGACTGCCTCCATATTGCCTTAAGTCACAAGCTTTATAAGCAATGAAACCCAGGACGCACGTTTCGTCCTATTTGGGACTCGTCAGCTGGGTGTGCATGCACCCTAGAGCTGGTGTTCACTCCGGGACTCGGACCTAGTACCATTCGCCTCAAACGTCATCGAGTTATCCACCCAGCTACTGAATCCTGATAGCCACCTGCTTGCGCGATGGAGTGAAGTCTAATTGACTTGGTATTGTCGGCTTGCATCTTCTCATTGTTGTTTAGGACTGCAAATGATCAGTCTCTTGTTGGCTTATGTGCATCCTGTACGAACTGCCTCGATATCGCCTTAAGTCACAAACCAGATATCCAGTTTTAATGGACAGTGTCAATCAATTGAAGATAATTCAATTCAAATACTGTGGACACCACATCTCCAACATGTTAGCACCCGTAGTCTAGTCCAGTCTTAATGTTAATTATGTCTATAACTTATCTATCAAGTCGTTGCTTAAGTTCTCATCACGTTAATCTGGTCTGATGTGTCTGTAGAATATCCCCGCTGAATGTAACCTGTCAACTGAATGACATTATTATCCCTTTATATTAGTGACACATAATTTTTATTCATTTTGATAAGACACCCAATAGTGGTCGGTATGTTGGTGTGTTCCACCTAATAGCTATAATTTCTTTAATTATTGTACTAATCTAATTGTTTTTACGTTTAGAAACAGATAAAGTTTAAAGCCAAATTATGTTCGTTCTGACTATAGCTTTCACATAGTCTCCAGGATCGCCAGTGTCCCGTTTACAGTTCTAATAGAACATTTATAAGATAAATTAAATCCTACACTTAATTTAGTGATTCATTCAAATAAAATAAAAACATCTTTTCAAATAGAATTTCTTAGCTTGTTTTTTGTTTTAAATTATGCATGACAAGCTGAAGATAAATAATGAGATTGGTAAATTTATCTTAATGTGTAGTGTATCCATAATACACAACTATACAAACTGATTGTATTATGTAAAACCATTTACAAACTAAAATTTAAAATAACAATAATAATATGAATTGTTTAAAATTAAAAAAGGGAAGTAGACAAATCATGAAATAGATGTGGCAAACAAAAAATGGGGCAGTTACTGTGAAATAAATACAATATGATAATTTCATTATTAAAAAGTCAAAATATTAAGTAACAAAACCAGAAAATGTCCTCTCTCTTTCTCTCTTCCAAAATCTTATTGATAACCACCTTAAGAGAAAGGTATGACAATGATGAGTGTTATATATGCTGTATTCAATGTGCTCAATTGAATTAGTGTTAAAACATTTGTATGTATTAAGTGATGTGAAGAGGCACACAGGTAGAAGCTATGAATTAATTAATATGAATTGATAGAAATGAGTTGGACTGTTGTTTTTTTTGGCGTTATTTTTGTATTTTTTTACAAAATATAAATGCAACAATAAATTCATTTGAAGAAAATTGTTTTCCAGTAATAAAAAGAGAAGAAACACAAATAAGCAGAACAAGCAAATTTTCATTGAATGTTACTTTCATCCTGGATCATTCTACTATTTATCTTTATTCTACGCCCTTTGACTAATTTCCTCCATTTTTGTTTTGTTTAAAACAGTGAAGAATTGTGAAATTACGGAAACCCCTGATTCCTTTTCGTCATCGTTATATCCTACCGCACAAATTTAGGCAAGATGATATTTTAGCCGATTTATTACGTGAAAATAATTTTTGTGGATAGATCACAGTACAGCCGTAATTATGCGCACACATAATACCACCAAGTAGCTTATCAATTGACTGTGATGATGGTGATAATGATGTAACAGTAGTAAAGGAATGTTTTGAAAATAATTTCAGTTTATTATTACCATTCTCATTAGAATGATTGTGTGTGTTACCATTATTATGATTAGTTTGTTGTTGATGGGGATGGTTTGAATGGGACAAAGCATTAATACTACTCTTGGTATTAGTAGTAGTATTAGCAGTGTGAACAATTTCATCACTGTATACTGGTTGTATAGCCATAATTTGAAATTTCTTTGATTGATGACTACCGATATTATAATATAAACGTTGAACACAAATTGCTTTTTCAATTCTTGTTATCCAATACAAATCATAATTAGATTGATCTAATAATATGATACGATTATCTGATGTGTAAATTATATGTCCAGGTACTATATTGAATGAAATACTTGGTGTAAAATGAAAATATCCATCAATATCAATATCTAGAATTAACACTTTATCTTCTGTTGGACATGTTGCCCAAACATTTTGTTCATTTTTAGCTAAACATAAAAAGTAAGGTGATAATTGTGGATCATTTAAATACCAGGTACGATCAATTCTAGTTAAATCATTCGATTTTAAACGACATATCATTGCATTCGCTGGTTGTGCAATATAAATATCACCGTTAGTATGATCAATATCTATGCCAAAGACAATTGGTTGATCCTGTCTTTCTAAACCAACGGCATCACGATAAAATAAACTTGAAGTAGCTATAATTGGGAATGGATTAGTCGACGACGATGATGTATCTTGATTTGATTCAGTATTGGTTTCACGATTATTATTAGTATTCCTACCAGCACCATTGACCAAAGTAGCTGTATTATTTTTATTCGAATGATCTTCATCAGAAATTGTACAACAGACTAGAATACCAAATTCCGACTTCTCTATAGAGTCTAGTCCTTCTGCCTCATTCAATGTAGATGCAGTTGATGTATTCGGTGTAATAATTCCCGTTAAATAAATAACAGAACCATGAAAACGTAAATACAAAATTTTAATCGGATTTGAATTATCAACAATAATTTGACTACTAATTTGATTTAATCCATATTTATGATTATTATGAATAAGATTGAAAAATCCATTGTTAAAATGTAATTGCTGTTTCCATAATAATAATTCATCACATTTTAAATTTGTTGTTAATGTAAAACGATGTATGTTACAATTGTTATCTTCATGATTGATCATTAATTTCATATCAACAGGTTGATACATTTCACCTGGTCGCATAATACAACAATCTTTACCTTTAGTAAGTACATGAAATTTAGAATTACGTTCCATCATTATACGTAAACCTTCAGCATCACGATATGATATATAAGATGATGTTGTTTCTACCGGTAATAGATCATTTGATGATATTGAACTTGCTGTAAGTCTACGTATACGTGATGCTGCAGCATGAAATCGACCAAACTGACGTATTGAATTAGTTGGTGAAATAGTAGATGGTGTACTAGAACGTGGATTAGTATTTTGATTAATAGTAGTACAACCATTATTATTACCATTATTATTAGTATCATGACTAGCATTTTTATCTAATGAGTTTATATTATTTATATTTAATGAATTTTGTTTATTATTATTTAAAGATGTTAATGGTAATTTATCATCGAATGCTTGTAAATTTACTAAAATTTCTTTAAATTCATCAATGATTACAGCACGATCAATTGCATTCATTCGTCCTTCACGCTGTCTTGATGCAATATCATCTACTATGTAATTTAACATTCTTGAACTAACTTGTAATGATGTTTTACGAGTAGGTACTGGACTTTTACCATCGCTATCAGTTTGTTCGATCATTCCATTATTATTATTATTATTATTATTATTATTATTATTATTATTATTATTATTATTATTCATACGTGATACAAAACTACTAATATGATTATTTTTTAAAAATTCTAAAATTGCTTTATGATTAAAAGCGCTGGGAAATGAATCAGCATTACGTGTAGCTGGAATTGGACATAATGCACGGCATATTGGACAAGGAAATGATGTTTTTTCATTGGATTTATCATTTCTATGATCTCGAAGATTACCGGTATTCGTGTTGTTATTATGATTATTACGACTATTATTGTTGTGACTATTATTATTGGAAGCAGTAGTAGTATTTCTAGCATTGGTTGGAGATGTTGTCAATTTTTCCATATATTTATTTAAACATTTACAACAGAAGGCATGACCACATGGTAATAATTTTGGGTTATCTAAAAAATTTAAATCAATTGGACATGTGACCATATCTTCCAACGGTTCTAGCACTGATGAACTTGAGCGTCTACATTTTTGAGCCTAGAAAGAACAGAAAAATTGAAAAGATGAGGAAAATCAATAAAGGAAACAAAGTGAATGAAATAAGTTTTTTTTTCATTATGAATGTTTACTGAAATTCAGGCGATACATTTTTATCTATGCAATAAAACTGTTTTATTTAATATCCATTAATTACAAATCGCACGATATCTAAAAGGTATGTGGGAAGTCATATCCAAGAGTGTGAGCACGACTTGTAGCAAGCGAATTATTTATCCATCCAACGTCATCAAACAAATGAATTCTTGAAGCTTAAGAATAAGCCATTTCCTATGGATAACAAATGTTAACACAAGGTCAAATGATAAGAGCAAATAGTTAGTGAATGTACCAAACGTTAATCATATTAATGTTATGTTTCAATATGCTATCTGGATTGCCTTAACTTTTCGTCTTTTTATGTATGTCGGGCAAAGCTTTTCTTGAGTGATTTGGATATTTTGAAGATTCAAGTGATAGGTAGAGGATAAATGTTGATTCTACTATGTAAGCTTGTACAAAAACGAAATTATACACAAACTAACGTATGTTTAGTTTAAGTAAATTCATTAATTCATTTTGTATGGTTTGTTTGAATCTTCTCATTGATGTTTAGGACCGCAACTGATCAGTCTCTTATTAACATATATGCATCCTGTGAGGATTGCCTCGATATTACTTTAAATCATAAGCATTATAAGCAAAGATGGATGGTGGAATTCAGAACGGGAGCTTCGTCCTAAGATGCAGGTACGTCCAGCTGACGAGCCCGAAATAGGACGAAACGCAAGTCATGGATTGGACTGATAGCCACCATTCATCTTTGATTATGAACTCATTAATATTTAAATCAGTTAGTTCCTTTTATAAATTCTGATGATGTAATGAGAATACAGAGCTAATTAGAAAAAATATAATGTATGTATGCGATACATTTTTGGTAGCACTCACACTCGTCAATCAAGACATTCATATATAAAAATGAATAAAGATCAATTCATTAAAAGTTTAAGTTTAATGACCATAGTTTCACATATTGACATTTTAATAAATAAATGGTTATTTTAAATACCATAAACACAACTACATGATAGCATCTTTTGTTTCAGTCTATCACCTATACAACACATGACAGCTTATTCAATACAGATCACTGTAGTTTTACGTTGAATCGCTTGTTCTAAATTTTATACATATTAATATTCAATGATGCATACGTCAGGAGATATTAAGATCAACGTAAGTGATGCTTTATGGTTGATAACAGAAGAAATTGTTTATTCAAAATAAAATACCAGGCAATTATGTTACAATGCGATATTTTAGTTAAGACCCTTTGTATTATGAGACTCACCGAAACACAAAGGAGCTAATAAGATTTAGAAATTTTAATTAGGGCTAATGAACAAGGTTAATTTAACGATTAAAAATAGAGCTCCGTACAGTCGCTAAATAAATAGCTAAATGGCTATGAGCAAATTTCATGGACTTCTCAGTTATTTGTAAAAGGTCGAAGTTAACCAAATTGTGAGACAGGTTGAACACAATGGAAAGTAAAAAATTAAAACAATGTAAATAGCTTCTGAAGACAGATGCTTTGTACATAAATTGACCTTGAAGTAAAGGTTCCTTTCCTACTTTCTGCCTATCTCCACTACCTGGGTCCAAGTTTAAAAGTAGTCCGGAGATACATGAATTAAATAGGAAGTCACTAGCAAGTTTTCGAGTAGAAAACATATCAATTGGAGACGGATGAGCTACGCCAATTATTTTTTGAACGTTTGGAAGTTTATCTGGAGTGGCAGAAGAAACGGTTCCAACAGGCTTAAATAAGAATTATCGGAGCTGTCATGCAGAAAATGTGTTTATCCTAGCAAAACCCTACGTCGAATGAGCTACAAGTAACACAGATTTAGGAATCAATGCTTTTCATGAATTCTATTTTGAACGTTAAATTAGTACGAAGACCTGTTCCATATTGATCTCTACAAACTAAATGACTCCATAAGATTTAGAACACACAAAAATGGATATAAAAGAACACGAATGCTATAGTAATTTTATTTTTCCAAAGATCATTGAAACCTTATGACAAACCTTTTCAGAACAATCATTTCTTGTTCATATCCACTGTTAGTGCCTAAAGATAACTAAGGAACTCGCAAATAACAATGTAAAACATCCATGAATAGTGGATACGATTACGATAGTGTTCATGTTCTACAGTACATAGGTTCTATGTTGCTGATGACTTACTAACCAGTTCCGTCTACTCCATCTTAAATTTTTGAGTAATATTCCTACTGTTCAATACAAAAAGTGTAGTTGGAAACTAAGTACATAAACCTGTTATTAACAAGTGATTTACATTAAATTTATATGATTTTGTGAAATAGAAATCTAATCAACTATTGATTTGGTGGTAACATGTTTAAACTAATTTAATTTATTTCAATTCGCCTGTTATACATATTCAGTAATATAGTTACTATGACCAATATTGAAGTGTACTTAGCTTATTTACAATAATAAGTGAAAAAAAATTCTTGAAAAAACAGTCACAAATAATTGGAATGATGATAATGATAAAATAAGGTAAATTATTTTTTTCCTTTTACTATAGCCTTCATTCAACCTTGGTCACATGCTTTTCAAGATATTGATCCTATTTTAGTAGATCATGTGAGTGTACTTTTCGTGTCAAATGACCTGAAGATGAACTGATTTCAATGAGAACAATAATTTCAATGTTCAATGTTTTAGCAAGAAAAAAATCTTTTGATTTTTGTTTGTACAAAAATTATTCTTGATAATTTTTCTTTCGTGATTTGGAATTTTATTTTAAAAAAATTTTTTTTTTTAATTTATACTTCACATATGTTAGTTACTACAAGAAGTTTCATAGAAATTGTTTGCTTAAAACAAAACAAACAAACATCATGTTTACCAAGAATTTAAATACATAAAGATAATAGATAAATAAATTAAATAGGAATTAAGAAATTTATCAGGTGAACCTTTATCATGACTGATAAATAAAACTAGAAAAACACTTTGACAGCTATTGTGTTGACGTTTCGGAATCTTTAACAGTATCTATTCCCTGTACACAATTTTACACGAAGTTTAACTGTGGAACCATCAGATTTTATTGTAAACACCTATACAATTTAGTAAATGAGTTAGAATCCAATGGTGTATACATTTCAATTCATAATGTTAACGGTAATATAATCTAATATTATTGATGAGTAACAGTTTTGATAATCATTTGATTTGTTTCAGAAGTCACACTTCAAAAGATCGTCAGGAAACTTATCTCATAAAGGTAGTCATTAAACTGAACAAGTCTTATTATTTACCAAGGTAATTTTATGGAGAATTTTTCTAAAGGTTGAACATAATATCGTTCCTTTTCATGACATTGTTAATCATTTGTGGATTGATGGAAAAGGCAGACTCAATTATGTATATAAATTAGTGACATTTAATAAAGCAGTTGAATTGACGTCAGATCAAGAACAACTTTAAACACCTACGTACCTATCTTTTTTAAATGTAGACTCTTTTGGGTAATAAACACTCTTGGATATTTCAGATATCATACCAAGGACCTGGAGAGTACTACTAAGTTATTAGTTCACGCGACAACTGTCCGGTTAGTTCAATCTCTTTTTAATATTTATCCAATAAATCTTATAAAGATTTGCTTTTTGAGGGATTTTAGCTAGGTTTAGGTCGAGAACAAGAAGTTGCTTGTGTTTACCGATTAAGAAAAAGGAAGTGGGATTAATTCATAGCATAGACAACACATTCTAAAGGTCAAACCTACAGAACTGGTTCGATAAGTATAAGAACTAAAATAAGCGAACAGTCTGACTCTGAATTCTATAAATTTCTCAACAAGCTCAACATGAAATAAACAGACACCTTTCCATGCTTTGAAAGCATCTTGATTTGGAAGGTGCGCAATTTTCATGCCCCAGAATAATCGATGAAAGAGAACAGTTTTTACACATTCAAATTATGTACTTATTTGACTCTTCCTTTTGTGAAACTTTGATCTTTTGATGCTAACTAAGGGTTTGAACGATCAATATAGGTAGACTTAAATGTATTCAATTTGACTGGAAGAATATGATGCATTCCAGAATAACTGCAAACTACTCATATCATATAGTAGTATAAATAGAACTACAACATTCTAAAAATAATCGTAGTTCACCAGTAAAACATTTTGTCTGTTCATTAAAATTTATCGATGTTAATCAATATATATGTCAAGTATAGTTTCTTTGTTAAATTTAACAAATACGTCATGATGAATCATTTTTACTAATAATGTAATGCGTATAATCAACTGTCTAGCAACTCATATCATTTGTAATTAAGTCAAAACAATCTTAAGTGCCATTCATTTTGTCTTTCATAATATTGTTATCTGCATTTACTGTGATCATTTAAAATATTTATACTACTTAAATTTGATTTTAGCACCAACTATCGAACACTAAAACCAACTGTCTCGTCCTTATTTTAAGACCCTTCATCAGTGGGGTGCATTATCAATCATCAAGTTAAAATAATATGGATCTACATGTTGTTGACTTAAATTATTAACTTTGAAAGTTTATGTGTAGTTAAATAACCAAATATATGTTCGCATATTTAGGGCCATCAGTCATTATATGTATCGAATGAAGAAAACGAGGGAAAAAGAAACACTTATCTCTCAAAAGACTGAAGTTGATATTATGACAGTGATAGTTAAGATATGAATAACCAAATAACTGAACCAACTGTTGACAAGAAACGAAATCTCAAAGCTCTGATATCACTCAACAACCATGAAATGTAAATTAGTTTAAATTCAGTTTTATTCAGGAGATTCTAAGGTTTTTAAAAAAAATTTAAGACACAATAATAAGATTTTGAAATCTACGATGAATAACTAAATGGTGTAAAATTCATAAAGACGTTATTCATCAAACAGTTGGCTT